TTGGATATTAATAAAATAGGGGGTCCCTATGGCGAGGCACTGTAGACTTCTATGGAAAGACTGTCGGGCACAACCCAACGCACACAGTTTCAAGGAAAAAGTCGGAACCAAAATTTTTTGGTTGAACGATTGGTTAGCGAGGGGTTAAATCATAGTGCACCGAATCGATTTTCACGAGACTTTTTCGGCGCCGCGTAATTTGCGCCGTGGGTAGCTGCACAGACATCCCCTGTACTCTGTGTGTACTCAGCAAACGGAACATCTTAACAAGTGTGGAGAGACACAGTGTCACTAAATATTAGCCGAATAATCGCCTCGTAGCAACAAATAAGTTTCCCATATTCGTGATCGGATGGGTCTGACCTATTAAAGGGTCAACTTTCAAGTTACGTGTTTTTGGCTTAATGTCTTTTAAATATATATAATTGAATAGCACTCGAATCATATGTTGATTGTCAATGGCCATTAGACCGCAGTCATCGAACGCATTACCCCCGCCACCAGACATATTTGAATACGCGAAAACAGAAACGTAAGAGAATCAAAAACCCGCCAGCCGGGGACGACATCAACCCACGCAACTGTCGCTGAAGGATCTCCACGCTAATCCATAGGCATCCATCGTTGTTGCCCAATCTCCTTTCCGATCGCTGAAGAAACTCATGGCCATGAAGCCGTTCACGCTTGATTAAGTGCCACAAGTAAGACCCCATACCCCGACTGCTTTTCTCTTCGATTCCGATAGTACCTTATAGGGTCCCTCCATTCCACCCTAGTCAAGAAGTTCAAGCGGTTTAGGCAGCCGGTAGAGGCTCAAAAGACCGACCAGTTTCTCATAGGTTTTTTTTGCTCCTTTTAGGCGTTCTTGGAGCCCGCACCAGCAGAAATACGAAGGCCCATTTTATGGTTTCATCTGGGCCAGGCCCCTACAAGTGCAATAACCGTTTCGAAAAAGCGGGGCACGCCCTGAACGACCTTCCTGGTTAGTGAAGTAGAACAGGCCAACTTGTGAAGACCTGCTAAATCTTCTAACCAGAAAGGGCTTGCTTGTGTCACTTTGCAGCTTCACAGGGGTTCACATGTTTGCACTGGAAAAAGACTGGCAACTAGCGAAGGCGCAATACGTCCCCGCCCCCGTCTGCATGCAAGCGAAGGCGCAATCACGCCCCACCGAGCCTCCCCGCTTTTGAAGTGGAACAAGCAGCACTTTTTCAGTTTAATTTCATTCCGGAACGGCGGGGTCCACCTATCTTCTTCATTTCATACAGTTCTCCCCCTCAGCCATCTTGAGTATTTGCTTCCTGGTACTCGTCTCTTGATTATTTTAAACTGGCAGTAGCAAGACGATTGCAACTCGTCAGCGACACCCTTGAAAATGGAGAGCATGTTCAGTGCCGAGGAAGATCTGACCGTGGCGCAGTTCGGTGAGAGGAGGGGCATTCTGCACTCCCGCTGCCTCCCTATATCGTGTTCATTGCTTCTACAGAAGTTGACAGGCATTTTTTTGACAGGGATAAGAGTTTCCACAAACTTTGACTGGTATCACTACAGGCTTCACAAGATTTCAAGAAATTCTTTCTGATGTATCCATCCGACAGTGGGAAGTAGCGAAAGTGAGAAATGCTCCCCCTACGGAGCTGCACCCTGAGTGTACACTGTCAGAGGTTGCCCTATTTATAGAGAAGTTTATGAGTGCCTCACAGATTTCCTTCGGCATATTCATCGGTTCGAGGGGAGACCATTTCCCTCGAATCTATTTCTTGTTCATCGTGGATAGATGACCGTTCATCGTGGAGAGATCGCCTCGCTGAAAGATATCGCTTGGATACAAAGAGTATGCGGATCGCATGGGGGAGTCGCCTTTCTCATTCGCCACCCCTAAAATTAGGAAGAGGAAAGGAGAACTAAGGGGAACACCTAATGTTAACTGATTTTACCCACAGGGGTACAGTATCAAAACAAACTTACGTCTTGCTGTTCCACCCACGGAGTAGGAGGTATAGTCATAGCTATCTGCAAGTTCAGAGCATAGATATCACACGGTAACTTCTCGTTCAATGCAGATGCCTGTGCGTGGAAAAGAGGGGGGGGGGTGTGGGTTTGCCGTTTCGCCAGCCAATTCTACAAATTATTGTCGCTTGGCTCTCGGACTTCAACAATTGGAGGGAACTCTGGCTCACGTCAAACCCATTCTTTCTGACTAGCATACGTAGAGAATAAGGCTATATGTATTTTAATAAAGGGAAGGTAGTAAAGTGGCAAGGGGTGAGGCCAAGGGTAGAATCATGCCTGTGCTAACAAAACGTCCATTATAGGTTGGTCAGTAGGTGCCGAGATTTTTTAGCATAGAATGATCATGTCTATTGACTTACAAGAGCCCCTTCTTTTCCTCAACTCCTCCTTGTGATAAATTTTACCAGCTTTCTTCGCATATTTTGATTCGCCTGAATTCCTGCTCTCAGTTAGTTTGAATTCTATTTCAGGTATGACAGCTAATCGAACAGAGCCTTCAGTCGTTTCGATGAGGGACCTATCTGGGCCGGGAGACGGGCAAGAGAATTGTAACTTGCCGCTCCGCCGCGAGCGGCGATGGGCTCGGCCTTTTCTTAACTTGTGTTAGTTAACCTGTACATTTAGCACCGGACTTCTTGTAGACCCGGTCGTAGTAGACATTCATGACTTTTCGGTTCTGAATTGCCTGTTGTCGAGATCTACTACCTGGAACCATCGTCAGTCATCTGCGGGCGCGACACGCCCACCAGCGCGGCGAATTACGATTCTTTCTCCTATACCCATCTAGGTCAAAGGTACGGTTTTCGCCGATCATATGGACGACGTCAGGCCTAAACCATTTTCTATGCTCGTCGATGCGCCATCTCATCGATGGCCAACTCCGATATGCTCTTCCTTGCTGATATGTTTGGAAAGAAGTAGGGCGGAAGACGGCATTGTAGGCCTGGCTCCGCCCATACGGTCACCGTAGACTTTACCTTAGAGTGCCGTGATGCTGGTATTTCAGAATTAGTATTATTATTATTATTGCTAAAAGTGCGACGTTCAAATGGGAGACCGTACCTCCCTCATAAT